AAGTAACGATCTTTCACGCGAGTGTAGTGAAAGCATGTAAAAGCATTGTAATCCAGATTGCGATAGACAACTTTCCGGCGGGAATCGATTTTAGATAAGCTGGTGATGGCGAACGGGGAGTAGTAGTTATTTTTCCCAGGATCAATACAAAATCGGTTGTACGAAGCTTTTTTGACCAGATTTGGCACGATTTCCCTGTACATGCTTGCATTGTTATTGCGACGGTTCTGGTCAGACGTAAAGCAATTTTATTCACGAGCCACCCAGAATGTGAACACCATGGTCTATTGGCCCCATCACATCTCTATGCTTATTGGACGGATGCATACAACACTAGAATAAATTGTCTACTGATCCACCAGACTCACGACCACTTTCAGTACACGTTTGTCAGATGTCGCTGAGGGCAAACGTACATTCAGACTCCACTGGCAAATCGATCGCGAAATGAGCTCAAGAGAAAAGCACTCAGCAACGTCGAATACATTGAGGATTTGCACGAAACTGACCTGTAGTAACGGTTCATGGCTTACGAACTCGTCCCAAGCGCTCTGGTTCGGCGACTGGGTATACTTAGAGTATAAAGTCGTCAACATTTGAAAAGTAGTGGCAGCTGAGCAGTGGATGTGTAAACTTGCCCCATTCAGACAAGCAGATCACCGGGAAGGACAAGGAAGCAAGTCAACTCTGAGGGCTGTCCTCAGGGTAGGACCAAATGAAAACGAAGAAAACTGAGCTGGGGAAATTGATTGCACACGTTTCAGCACAACCACTAACCCACCGCTACGCACCACTACGCTCCCCAACAACGCACTGATGATTTCACCCCGATTGGTGATGAAACGTTTGCAATCAAATTGCCCAGCTCAGCGAACAAGCCAACGACCATCTACGCTATCTGAGCTACTGACATTTTCCTCTATAGAACGAAGAAAACTGTTTTGGAACGATTTGTAATGTTGATGAGTGGGGTGCCGTGTTGCATGAATAGTTTGCGATTCTCATCGTATCGTTACTAAAGAATTTACACAGGCGAATTGTTCATTTCGGCTGCAGTATTTTCTCGCAATGTTGGGCTTTGCGCCATCGTAGTTGTTGTCCTCAGACATATCTGAATTGCGTTCAGTGACGGGTAGTGATTTTTTGCGCGCTCAAAGTGATCCTCAAATGCCATGGAAACAAATCCTGAATGCTGTGCACCAAGCAGAGGCGACTGTTCATCTGATTATGTCTTCTGCGGTTGAGTACATTTGAAAATGTTAAGAGTAGACGCTGATGTGGCGGTTCCCAAGTTTTTGAATTTGCGTTCATCACTGTCGTTTGAAAAGTCCCCCTAATGATTATTCTGGTTAGCCTGTACCAAAGATGCGAACGTGTCAAACTGCAGTTTCACTCTAACTAGGGGGATTCAGGAGTGCATACAACTTGGACATGCCGAGATTCGTACACCAGTTATCTGATCAACAAAGATGGCGCATGTTCCCACAACTCTACAACTGCACGATGGAGGAACCTGAATCGATACCTCTGCACAGGCCAGCATGGTCACAATTAGTGTAGTAACGATATTTTTCTCGGCTTAGTTCTCGGTCTGAGCCTCCCAAACTAGCGTTCAGGACAAAACAACCGCCAAAGGTGCACAAGGCGCGTTAACGCCCAAAACGAAGTCAGGAACACTTGTACAGCGCTTCATATATATAGCGTAGGCGGCAGTTACTTTCTGGAAATGCTGACGCGTTCTGGATGCGGCAACAGCAACCGGCGTTAGAATAATACTGGGTCATGATTGGCTGTTGGGTCCAGACTTTCGACCAATCAGATCTCGGCTTGATGCCGGACCGGCAAGCGTCCCGAACTTTTGACCAATCTTGCGTGGGATGGTCTTCTCGACCGTAGCAGCACCTGAATGCGAGCGTTGAAGCGGGATCCGTGTTGAGGTCCGCCTAGCACTAAGATTGCATCCGCTTCCACCAAGAGGCGTTATTAGTGAAGTGACCTTCAGTATTGCTATGTTGTTAGCAGGCATGCGCAACATGTTCCATTGTTAATCTGGGCATTCGCGTTCAACTGTCGAATGACTAATTTACTTGGACTAATCGTACGGACGTAATTTCAGTCAGTGTAAACAGTACGAAGACAACTAACCAACGGAATCGACCGATTGAACAACAAGTCGTGATCGAAAGTCAGCCCCCGACTAGCAGTACGTATATTGAAACACACGCGCCGCTACTCAACACGTAACCATTGATCCAGCGCTACGCTGTACTCCGCTCCCCAACGCATTGATGACGCAACGTCGACTGGTCATTAAAAACGTTCCAAATTGCCCAGTTCAGTGAACAAGCCGACGGCAACTGGTAATCCCGGATGGGATCGAAGGATATAATCGACCAGTGGGACTGTTACTGTTTTATGCCCTTAACTCAGACGGGATTGTATACCCGACACGTTAGCGCTCAATCATCCATTTCGCATAACTCAGTGATCATGTCCCAGACTTTTGCTGGACAACTGTTATGGGCACACAAGCAGACTGGATACACAAAAGTGTCACAGAGGCATCAAGGGGTAAACCTAGACTGGCTACTACCAGTTGTTTCATCAGAGTGGGGAACCACTACGGCAGTGAAGCATCAGTGTTGAACACTGATGTCATGCTGTCGATGATGATGGGAACCACATCGCGGGTGTGTTCACTGCCTGTAGACAAGGTGGCTGTTGAACTGTCCGCTGAGATTCACAATTCGTTTGCAGTCGTGGGATCATAGGACGCGTTTGGGTGAGTACTTCCCCTTGCCTGCATGCGGGTATATAGTCTCAAGTGTTTGATATCACCTGATCGGCTGATTGAAAAACTGCTTCATCGTAACTACACTGAAAAAAATCATTGAGCTGTTGCACCCTTTCGGTGCCTAGCTGTCAAGCCACCCGAAGGTTCACGATGGCTGGGGTACTGTCAGGTTGCCCAAGCCTGCACGATGGCTGGTGTACTGTCAGGTTGCCCAAGCCTAGACAGCGAAAGTCGAGAGGCAGAGGTCGGGTTCAAACCACGGACTTTCGATCAGTAAATTCGCGCCATAACCACTCGGACCACCTTGCCCCCCTCGTAAATACACTGGTTCGTGTGCGACTTGTGTTGGGTCTGCATTCATTAGATTCAATCGGCTCATTGAGCAGCTGCGTCATTTTATATCCCATCATAGCTTCATCGATCCGTTTACCTCTGCTGCGCTGTGGTCTATCTTCATGTGATTTGGTTGGCTATCCAGTTTTAACAGTTTTATGTGCTTTGATTGGCCCGCTCCTAATGTGTTTCGTTGTGAATTGATTTTCTTGAGCTTGTTTGTGCTTTCGTTTTTTTCAACATATCAACTGATCCCAACGTTTGATCGGTTCATCGGGCTCAGTGTTCGTTTCAGTATTTCGATTTATCGATGGGAGGAACATTCCGGCCATGATAATCAGGTCAAGCATTTGTGTTCCGTGGGCGTATCCCAGCCCGGTAGGTACCATACGTAGAGTAAGGCAGCTCGTCAAGTCACATGCCCCATGGCTCGTCCAGTAGGCTACTTTAGGTTTCAAAATCTGGGCATATGCGAATGGAATTTTCGCAATTTTGGACTCGTCACGCTTTCGAATTCACAATAACCCACCCTACGACAATTTTAAAGATGCCCCGGGAGTAATTTGTACGTCTACGTAAGCCAGTTTTAGGATGTCGCCTTAAAAAAATTCATCGTCTCCCGATGTAAAATTAAAGTGACTTGGGGGACGAAAACTCCTCACGCATGCACAGTACCGTACAATCTTTTTCGGAATCTAAATCTAATTACCCGAGCACCCAATGGATGCGCCGCATAGGCCTATGCACCCACGCACATTCTACTTAGAATTCGATGGATGACTGACTCCATTCGTCACTTTCAAGTTAGTTGCTGTGAATCTAAGGTTGGTCGGCAGTAGGTACGCACCTCCGGCCCATCAGTAGAAAGGGAAGAAAGAAAGAAAGCGTTTAGCTGTAGCACCCTTCCGGTGCCTAGTTGCCATGCCACCCGAAGGAAGCACGAGGGCTGGAATACTGCCAGGTTGCCCAAGCGTAGACAGGGGAAGTTGAGTGGTGGAGGTCGGATTCGAACCACGAACCTTCCGGTCAGTAAATTCGCGCTCTAACCACTTGGACCAGCTCACCCATCAGTAGGACTGGAATGTCCCGGCTGCTGCACTTGGTGTGCAGAATTCAGTGTCTAGCAGAAGCCCCTAGTCACTTGCACCCAAAAGGATTACTACTGTGGCAAGCATTTATCAGGGCAACGGCGTAACAATCGTGCTGCTGAAAGAGAAAGTCAGCAAGGAAGATTCGAACATGAACCGGTAGGAAGTAGGTGGACATGCAACAAAATGGCGGCGCATGCAGAACAGCAGCAATCAGAACGGAAAACCGTAGTTTCGCCAGGAGATAGGCGGAAGAATTCAATTCAATGAGGCGAACGAAGTAACGAAGGTGTCGAGTACAGTTCAGCAGAGAGGACACTGATACTTAGGCACAAGTCGATTGAAGGTGAGAATGAAAGGAAACTAAACAAAAGAAACCTAAAAATCAACCTAAATTCATGGGGTGCAACATGACTGTGCGAACGGATATACGATGCACTGGTGTTTATCACAGAAGATGAATCGGAAATTATAAAAGGATGAGAGGAGTCGAATGAGGGGTATCCAATCACACGAACAGGAGTGTGGGGGTAAGCTAAATTCAGAAGCAATGAACGAATTGGCACCGGATATGGTCCCATTGCTGCTCGATTGCGTGGAGAGAGAGAACCAGATATTGGTACACATCTGAGGTCAGCACTGGGTTCCAGATTGAACGAAGCAAGCTGTCTTGAGAAAGCCATTGACAGAAGGCAATCATTGGCGACAAACGTATGCTGATTGAATTTTTTGGAGCAAAACAGAGCAATGCGATCAGTCCATTGCTTGTGTTTTGCGGGTGTTCTTTTGTCACTAGACCTCGAGAAAGGATGCGTTACAGTCCCGGTAAGGCCCAGCACACCGCACTCTTATCCGCACTGGTTGTAATGAACGAAAGTTGTGACGGATGCCACCGAGCCTGGATAACTTTGTCTGCATGCTCTGCTAGACGTACACAGGGCAACGGCTGAGAAAGATCACCTAAAACATGAGTGCGAAACAATGATAAAGCCACTGGAATTCACTGGTTAACAACTTCGCTTCAATTGTGTTAATAACGGCTTTATTCTTCACACAGTGACTGACTTCCTCATGGATAGCACAAACCAAGGAAACCCCCCCCCCAACAAAAAAAAAAAACAAAAAAAATAACA